GTTTATCATTGTTTGTCAAAGGGATTATTTCTTTCATTTGACATATTACATAGGCTTAAGTGTGTTGGTTACTAATTGTTAGTGAATTCTATAAAGTACAAAGATGTTCACTAACAGCTTGCTCGGTCGTATATATATTGCATTTTCATGGACATATCTGTGTGTTTTCTAAGTCCCTGCAGTTTAGAGACAACATTTTTGCATCCTTTCTAGTTGATGTGCAGTTAACAGTCTTGGTTTTGTAAGAGATAACTTTTACATAAGGTGGTATATCTGCTTCTGGATTGCTATTTTGCGTGGTCTGTGTTACTCATGAGAGTTGTAGAGCCTTGATTCTATTACCAATTTCTTATTTTGTAAAACTAGAGTTAAATAATAGAACTTTTCGTGTTTTCTCATTGAAGTTTCAAATAAGTAGCTAAATCTAAGAGCATATTTGAATTTACTTTTAGGTTTTAGCTTTTCAAATAAGTAGTTAACTCCAGGCTTCACAACAATTTTTGAATCAAAATTACCTTCTTGTTGATCTTCTGGTTTTTTCCCTTGTAGTTTTGGCTCAAGCTTCTCTACTACGATCTTGTGTGTGCAATTTATAGAATCAGTGTACATGTGATAGAATCAACTTACATTACATACAATAGCAGTGTTGTGAAAAGCGCGCTTCAAAGCAAGGCGACCCTTGTGCGCTTTTTTATCTTGAGGCGAGGCGATCTGAAAAAAGCTCTCGCTTCAGATGAAGAAGCAAGAAGCAACCCTAAGGCAAAAGCGCAATAAAGCGCGCTTTTTATAAAAAAAGCGACAATTAGGTTTTTTTTAAAAAAAAATTAGTTTTTTTTTTTACAAAAATAATCTGAAATATAACCTTCTCTCTCCTCACGACTCTTCTTTCACGACTCTTTCCCTTCTTTCTCTCCTCGCGACTCTTCTTTCCCAATACTTCTTTCCCTTCTTTCTCTTATGACGATCTTGACTGAGGCTGCCTCTCTCTTCAACCTCGACCGCGACTGCAGGTAACTTTTTGTTCATCTCTTTTTTAGCTAATGTTGATTAGTTCATCTCTATGAGTTTCTTTTCTCCTGAAATATACAATCTTCGCCTGTGCTTCATCTCTTCATCTTTCTGAGTTTCGACTACTCTAGTTTTTTCTTCTTCTTCTCTTCTTTTCTTCATCTCTGCTGCCTTCTCTGTTTCTAATTACTGACTGCTGCCTCCTCTGTTTTTTTTTTCAATTCTTATGCTTTTTTTTTTGTGATCAGTCTAGCAGCCTTGTTGAAGAATAGGAGTTTGAATCTTTGTGATTTAACTATGTTTTTGATTTTTTGCTTTATATGTTATGACTTGTGAGTATTTTTGCCTATGTAATTTCTTTCAATCTAAGACTATATTACCTCTATTTAGTTATTTAATATTTTTTTTATTTTTATACTAAATGTCGCTTTTTTTAAAAAAAGCGCGCGCTTCGCTTCACGCTTCTGTGAACCAAGCCCTCGTCGCTTTTTTCCGCTTCTCGCTTCCCAAAACACTGTACAATAGGTTATAGCTTGCACTTAACTCAGCTGCTGCAATATGCTATAATCAATTACTCTTATATAGCTGCTGCAATCTGCGATAATAAAGTGCAAGAAATTCTGGTAAGAGTTGAGCCCTTCTATAACTGTATGTACTCAGACAAAGGTTTCCAGATTGGTTGATCAGAAACAATGGGATAGTAGTGAATTTGAGTTGCAAGAATGGTCAGGAAAAGATCTGGAGGTGTAGTTTGAATGATCTTTCGATATCCCAGCTTACATTGATAAAAAAAGCATACATTTGATGTTTTTTTGTGTTGAGTTTCCTCTTTTTTCATGCTTTGTTTTGTGCCACTTCTATCCTGATTTACATGTCTGCATTAGAGTATCTTAAGATTACTCTCCTGCTGCCCCTGTTCTTTGGCCTGAAGTGGACTTGGAGTTGGAATTGATGTTCTGATCCAGTGCTGCCTGAACTAAACATGTAATTTGAAGTCTTTTCAGGGTTAGATTATGTTATAACATCGTAACATGCCCCAATTTCTGATAAATGCCCTGACATGGATCCTAGTTTTTCCTACTGGGTTCTTGACATGTTCAGATGCAAGAGGTTGCTGGGAACATGGAGGTTACCTTCATGGAAGAGGCAGTATAGATTCTTTCTCATAATAATTGCTTCTTCTTTTTTTTACTTTGGTACATTAGTCTGTCCATATAATGGAAATGTGGAATAGTTTCTTGAACCTTGTTTAAGTTATATATTGTAGCCCTTGACAACGATGACTTGCTTTACCTCAATAAGCAGATGGGAGCCGAGGAGAATGCTGAACGTCTTCTGCTCTCAAAAACGTGCATTTCAAGCATTCAAGATATCCTTTTTGTTTGTTTCTTCTTTGATGCCACTGCATAATAATATTGAATGGTGACAAGAATTTTAAATTGATGTCTGTTGAATCTCATTTACACATAGAGTTATTAAAAAGATTGATTTAATGATTTAACCCGTCGGATTTTAGCTTTGCTAGCATAGAGGATGTGTTGTGGTTTGCGAAAGTTAGGACACATAAAACTTATCCCCAAAAAACACAGATATGTACAGTTATCAAGTACTATAACCATTAAAATCTTCTATGTATTGCGTGACTAATTTAAACTAAGTTTTTGCTTATTATTTGCCTGCATCTGTTCCCCCTCCACTTCGGGTTGAGCCCAAGCCAAAAATTGGAATCAGGTACAATTGACTTATTTTACATTCTTACTTATTATTTACCTGCATCTGTTCCCCCTCCACTTCGGGTTGAGCCCAAGCCAAAAATTGGAATCAGGTACAATTGACTTATTTTACATTCTTACTTATTATTTACCTGCATCTGTTCCCCCTCCACTTCGGGTTGAGCCCAAGCCAAAAATTGGAATCAGGTACAATTGACTTATTTTACATTCTTACTTATTATTTACCTGCATCTGTTCCCCCTCCACTTCGGGTTGAGCCCAAGCCAAAAATTGGAATCAGGTACAATTGACTTATTTTACATTCTTACTTTAGACGCATTTTCTTTCCAAGTATTCTCCCTAGTCTTTTTCTCCTAGTTTTTATGCCTCAGTAATCAGAAGGTGAGTAATTTTTACAGCTTGATACTTCTTTGTCCTCAAATGTTCAAGGAGCCAAATTAAGATATTTACTGGTCTACAGGCAGCAAGTTTTACTCAAAAAGGATTTAGAAGTCAAGCCTAAGAAGCAGAAAGTTTCTAGAGGGTCTGATGGGAGTAATTTCAAGTACACAGGCTATTCCTAGTAGCAATTAGCAATTAGCAACTCTAATTCCAATCAAGAGAAGCAGAAAGAGGTCTTTCCATCCAAACAAAATGACACTGGAAATGAAAAAAAGGTACATAGTCCGATAAAAAGAATGTTAGAAGCATATGAATGTTCCTCTTTTATATGTTAATTCTTTGCAATTCTATAGCCAGTAAATTCAATGTCATCTCCTACGAATCTAAGCATGAAGATTATGGCGACCAACATATATCAGCAGCTTTATGTCCGTGAAAATTAAAAAAACTTGCCTCTGTCATCATGTTAATTTTTCTTTAAAACACCAACTGCAAATAGAGTTCTCAATGTCATCCTCCACAAAGGACTGAGGAACCCTGTCTGTAGAGAATGCCATTCATGACAAAATCTTATGATTATTAAAAACGACTAGTATCGAGCATATTGAATGCATGATTTATTTCACTAACTTATAATTTTATTTTAAAATGTGCAGAAGAATGTCGGTAATTGAATTTTGATTAGTGGCGAGAAGTAAATTCGATCTATTGCATTGAACGATGAAGAGCTTTTGCACTATTGTCATATTTGTTTTAATGCCTTTGATTTTTTGGTATATATTGATAGTGGAGATCTTTAGGCAATCACATTCTAAGTATTGGTTGTTACAAGACATGTTTTCAAAGCTTATTCAATATATATAGCTTCGATTAATTTATTAGCTAATTTTTTGGTTTATATCACTTATATATTTAATTATATGATTATTGATAATATGCAAATAAAAATTATTATTGTTAAAGATGAAAAATATTGGCTACAAAAATTCTACGAAACATTGTAACACTTAAAAAGTGTTGTTTTCGATGAGATATGAAAGACCACTTTTTAAACGTGACCAATAACAAAGCAAAGATCACATTTTAAGTGTAGTATAACCAGATAAAAGGTGTTGCTAATAAATACTACAAAGCGTGCCCTTTATAGCTCTTTGGCAACGCTTTTTAAGTTTACCTGCTATGGTGACATTTCTAACTTGTTACCTAATGTCAAAGGTTACACTCCTTTTGATCACTCCCTAAAAAGTGTTGCTTAAAATTTAAAAGTGTAGCCTTTTATCAAAGACCACACTTTTTGCTATTTTATGCTACACTTTACTAGGGTGGCTTTAGGCCTAAAATGGGATGGTGACAGGTACATCAAAGGCACTCACACTTTGGCCTTAGACTTGTTTTTACAATCACGGATACCATGTAGAATTCTCATGTATATGTGAAGAATCAAGGATTTTATTGATAATTGAATGATTGAGTTACATACTCCTTATACAGGAGAAGAGTCTCATACTAGCTACATTAGGAATCCTAATACAACACAAATATATTATTTACACCTTATCATAGTCGACTACATCAACTTTAAGTCATACAAAATATAAACTTGTACATAATTTAAAATTAGTAGTCTAGTCTTAGTGTAACTCGAACTTTAACTCGTTAGGCATCTTCATGTAACCTATTCCTTTGACGTGTTTCATTTAGCTTCTTTCAACAATTTATGAAAAATTGTGACTTTAATGAAGATGTGCAATTTTTATGAAAAGTTGTGACTTTAGTGAAGAGTTGTGACTTTTATGAAAAATTATGACTTATGAAAAGTTGTGAACTTTCGAAGGGTTTCAACTTTTCCAAATAATATATCCTTTCCGATAAGACTCAATAAACATTTGTTCACAGTACCATTTGTTGTCTATAAATAGAGGAATTTTGTATCATTTTTAAACAACGAATATTCTAAACCTCTTCCTCCTCTTCTTCATAATTAAATATTTGTATGCTTTGCTCGTGTTTAGTGACTCATTGACACCGGCCATTACTTATGTTACAAATCCTGATATGTATTTTTATAGTCATTTATTTATCTTATGTTATGAAGGATAAATGATAAGATGTAATAAGTTTCATTTTCTTTTACATTATTAATGTTTGTTACTATGTAATCTTATATGTAAGACAATATAGTGTTTTAGTTTTAATGAAGAGAAAAGACATAAAGACACCATCGAAGTTGTCCCATATTTGCATAAAGATACCTAAACTTTTAAAGTGTCCTATCACACCACTTAACAACTATATATTGTTGTAAATTGGCCATTTTTACTCATTCCATCGTCTATGTAATGCGCGTGTTGCTCACTCTCTAGGTAACCCAACCCCACCCTTTTTTTTTGAAGATTATTCGTGAACTCCTTTTCATTTCATTTCTCAACTTTTCCCTAAAAAATCAAACGAAATACACAATGTTCTTGTTGACGATAGTGTTGTTGTTGACAATCTCGTTGTTGATCATTGTTGATCGTTGTTGATGTGTATTTGTGAAGATTCTTGGAGATTGAAGGTCTAATAGGTTAGGGTTCTAAAATCTGCACTTTTTCTCTCGATTATTCTCATTTTATGGATTATTATAGTGTAGAAGTGTTAGAATAGACCTCCTACAGTTGCCATTGTTAGGATATTTTTGAGTATGTTGGGTAATCGACTTAGTGTAGGGTATTGTGTTATTGACTTAGTGCAACTGTTAGTGATCAGGGTTTTGTGATTGTGTTTTAGGTTAGGGTTAGATGTTATCCACTTAGTTCGAATCTTATTATTTGTCTCTTATACATTTGTAGACTTCAATTTGTATACTAACAACTGCTATTGTTAGTGTTTTTGTTCTGTTAGTACTGTTAAAGCTTAATGTTAGTGCTTTATTCTACTTTTGTTAGTTAGTGTTTCTGTTGTTGTTGTTTGTTAGTGATTATGTTTGTTGTGTACAACTTGTTAGAGTTAGTTATTGAAATGTGTGTTTGAATTGTGTTTGTTGTTGTTACATGATTTTTCAGGATGACTTTTACTCTTATAACTTTAAGATGGTATCATGGGGGGATAGAATTTGGTCTACCACCTAAATATATTGGGGGGCATGTGACAGAATTCCTAGATGTAGATGTTGATAGGATGTCTTATTTTGAGTTGAGGGACTACATAAAGGAACTAGGATATACAATAGATTGTGATTTTTTCATCAAGTGGGATGGGTTATTGGTCCTTGTTGATAATGATAAGGTTATATTTGACCCTTTTCAATATGATGAATGATGGGGATACAGTGGAGGTGTATGTTTTTCATGGGGTTAGTGAAGCTAATCAGGCCCCACTTGGATTGGAGTTTGTCCCCCATGTGACTGAAAGTGGGGTAGGTGAGGAATCTTTTAATGAGACTTCTAACCCTAATAATCAGCCTCCTACTTCTACTTTTCCTTCCATCCCTACAACTGGTCCTTCTGAAACTTCTAGCACTCCATTTGAAGCTCAGTCTTCTACTGTGCCTCCACCATCTCCTTCTATTGTGCCTCCTCCTTCATCTGATTATCCTATAATAGATGATGATCCAACTGATGATGAAGTGGAAGATGAATCAGGATCTGAAGGGGATACTAGTGAAGATACTAAGGTTGACAGTGATGTTCATCAAGAGTATGTAGATATAAAGGCAACCAAGAGGCATTTCAAAAGGTCACAAAGGAGAAGTAGGGGAACTACTTCAGATCAGATTAATGTTAATGAGAAAGGTCCAGATATAGGGTATGATGAGACAAATAATGGTATTAGGGAAAGCTTAGTTGGTAAGCTAAGAGGTGATGAACCTTATTATCTAAGAGATGAAGTTCCTAACTTTGAAATAGATGGTGAAGAGGTTGATCAAGTAGTGCATAAACCTGTTAGGAGGAAGAAAACCCCAAATAGAGTTGTGTTTGATACAACTGCTGAAAAGATTGTTTGGGAATTAAGACTGGTTTTTGGAACTGTTAAAGAATTTAGAGTGGCAGTGACAAAATATGCAACCCAAGAACATATTCAAATTGAAAAATATGTAAATGAGCCTGGCAGAGTTAGAGTGAGATGTTGTAAAGAGAGTTGTCCTTGGTTGTTGTGTGCAAGTAAGGATAAAACTAGTGGAGATTTCATTGTTAAAACATACAACCCTATCCATAAATGTTTGACATCAACTCATAACTACCTGTGCAACTCAAAATTTTCGGCCACCAAATACAAAGAAAGAATAACTCAACAGCCAAACATCAACATTGTCTTGTTGTAGGACATTATTAGAAAGGAGTTGGATATTAATGTTGGTAGGACAACAGTGACAAGAGCTAGGGCTAGAGTGTTACAAGAGATCATGGGTGATCACATTGTGGAGTATGGTAGGATTTTTGATTATAGAGATGAAATATTAAGGAGTAATCCAGGTAGTACTTGTGTAGTGAAGGTTGGAGAAGATTCTGAAACTAGGCAGAAATTTTTTGAAGGATTTTATGTTTGCTTCAATGCTTTAAAGAAAGCATTTTTTGGAGGTGCTAGAAGGTTGATTGGTTTTGATGGGTGTTTTCTCAAAGGTGTGTGTAAAGGCCAGTTGTTAGTGGCAGTTTGTAGAGATGGAAACAACCAAATGCTCCCTATTGCTTGGGCAGTTGTTGAGGTTGAGAATCAGTATACCTGGACATGGTTTCTTGAACTAGTAAAGAATGATCTTGAACTTGGAGAAGGGCATCAACTATCCATCATTAGTGATATGCAAAAGGTAATTACTGATATCCATCTTACTATTTTATTGTTGTTGAGTTTTGCACTTTAATTGATTCTTTTTCTGTTATGTTGGTATGTTAGGGACTAGAAATTGCTGTGGATACTTTATTGCCACTTGTTGAACATAGAAAATGTGCAAGACATGTTATTACAAATTGGTCAAAAAATTGGAAAGGAGTTGAAAGAAGAAGAGTGTTTTGGAGGATTTCTAAATCCACATTTGAAGCTGAGATGAAGGACAATATAGAGACAATGAGCAAATTAGGACAAGAAGGTTTAGATAATCTTTTATAGTGGAATACATGGTGCAAGAAGTATTTTGAAGAATATAGCAAATGGGATGTTGTGGACAACAATATGGCAGAAAGCTTTAATGCTTGGATAGTGTCTGCAAGGTATAAAACCATCATTACAATGTTTGAGGAGATAAGGGTGAAGATGATGAAAAGAATTGGTGATTTGAGAGAGTTCTCAAACACTTGGATCACTGATATATCTCCTATGTCTTTGAAGATTTTGCAAGAAAACATTCAAAAGTCTATGCAATGTAACTTGACTTGGAATGGAGAAAGAGGTTTTGAGATTAAACACCATGGGTTTACACACACTGTGGACATTGTTAATAGGAGGTTTAGTTGCAGATCCTGACAACTTAGTGGAATTCCTTGTCCTCATGGTGTTGCTGCCCTTCATTACAAAAACTTGGAACCAATCCATTATGTGGCTAGCTGTTATAGCAAGGAAACCTACCTCAACACATATGCCCATTTTATTCAGCCAATGAATAACATGAAAATGTGGTCAACCTCAAATAATCCAATTGTAAAGCCACCAAAGATCAGAAAGTTGCATGGAAGACCAGTTAAGGTTAGAAGAAAGGAAGCAGATGAAAGCGGAAAAATTGGAAAGTTGAGCAAAAGAGGTGCTGTAATGACTTGTAGCAAATGTGGCACACAAGGACACAATAAAAGAGGATGTCCAAGAAGAAACCAAGCTGATCCAAGTCAATCAACTGAACCAGTTTCTCAGGCAAGAAGTACTGGTCCAAGTCAGTCATCTGAACCATCTTCTCATACACAGGTACTTTTATTTGTTACTCTCAAATGTATGTTATGTGTAGATGTATATATATTGATATATTTATATACAAGATACTGAAAGTGGTAGAGGAAAAGGCACAGGAAGAGCAACAAGAGGAAGAGCAACAACAGGAAGAGCAAGTGGCAGAGGTGTTCCAGCTCAATCACATGAAAATGTTACAAACACAGAGGTAATATATCTAATTATTATATCATTGTTAGATAATATAGATATGCTTTAATATTTGATTTCAAAGTACAGACTGTAAATGGTAGAGGTAGAGGTAGAGGTACAGGTAGAGGAGCAGGATCAAGAAGAGAAATGGCTCAAGAAAAAAATGTGAATGTAGGACTAAGTAGAGGAAGAGGAATGACTCAACATAGTCAAACTAGTTCAGAAGCAAACTACAGTAGAGGAGGCATAAGAAGAGGGAAAAGACCAGTAGAACATGAAGACATTAGTGGAGGACAAACAAGACCTTTTAAAAGGCCAAGAATGGTAGGTGTTGGCATATACCAAGCTAAAGATGGATTTACAACTCTCAATGTAAGTTTACAACTATCAATGCAAGTTTACAATTGTGATTGCAAACCTAATTGTCTAATATTTGAGTGTGTATTTATTTGACTAAGCAGCCTGGATTGCCAAGTAGAAGAGTCATCAATACTGGTACAAAAGTTACAAGAGGGCTGATGTTGTCACTGGTGATATTGGCTACACACCAGTACGTGGATTCAAATGGAAGGGGAAGACAACTATTACCAGTAACAACCTGGAAAGAATAAGGGCTGAAAAGGTTATCCAAACTAGGTCTGTAGCTGCTGCTAATGCTGCTAATAGCCAAGGCCAAACAACTTCAAGTAGAAAAACTTCTGTGCCATGGAAGTAGGGCATTTTGATGTTGTCTTGTTCATTTTGACAAACAAAATTTAACTATGCATATATTTGTGTTGTTTTTTATTGGAAACAAACTAAATTTTGGGTGTAACCAAACAAACTTGAATGGTTGGAATCAAACTCGATTATGAAGTCTTCTTTTTTGTCAGTTTTGTTATTGCCTTTTTAATTATAATTGACATATTTGTGAAGCTTCTCAAATGGTTTCCACGATAATATAGATTAGAGAACCAAATACATTAACTAATTGTTCAAATCATAACAATTTCGACAACAAAGAACAATAATAACTTGAACATTCAACAATCTTTCAAGTTACACACACCTACAACTAGCAAGATCAAGACCATTAGCTTCTAGGTACACACACCTACAATTTCAAAAATTTGAAAGTAACTAAACATGTCTATGACAATTTTGGTTGCACACACCTACAACTTCCATCCTTCACATTCTTGGTTAGACTTAAACATAGAAAACACACAATAATGATCAAGACAATTAGCTTCAAGTTACAACATTTGCCCTTTTTTTTCTCCTTCATCATGACTTGGTTACTTTCATAAGATGTCAATATTTCTTCCAACTCCTTAATTCTCTTTGCTAATCTCGGAATAACATACTTGGATCTTATATCAACTTCTTCTCGATCCCTCCATCTAAAGAAGTTGCACGCATCCTCCTAAAATACGCAAAACACAAATTAAAGAAAAATACATAAACAAAAGATCTCCATAAAAAAATTAGTGAACATACACGATAGCGTGGACAAGACCAAAATCTTCGAGCTGGGTTATGCTCCGACCAAAAAGTTTGCATTGATAGTAAGTCACCATGTTTGCATTGCAGTTTCACTCACAACATCAGATCATTCTCATCATTACAAATACGATTCAACATTGCATTTGACATTTTCAATCAAAAACTAACCACAAAATTGAGAAGAAATTCAACCATAAAAAAACTTCAAATTAACGTTTCTACTGGAAATTAAAAGAGAAGACGAATTCCTACATTATTTTCTTGAGGAAGATATGAAGTGGTCAAAAAGAGAGCACCAATATTGTTCTTGCCATGAAAATCAAAATTTTAGGGCTACCAACGACTATTTTTGAGTTTAAATTGGGGAAGATACAAAAATTAATTAAATAATTAATATTAAAGAAAGAAAATGACATGTGGCTGTTTTAAACTGGTAAATAAAAAGGAAAAATGGCCCATGACGCGCCTAACGTGCATGTAAACAACCCAGATTAGTTAATGGGTAAAAATGGCCAATTTACAACGATATATAGTTGTTAGTGGTGTGATAGGACACTTAAGAAGTTTAGGTGTCTTCATGCAAATATGGGACAATTTCGATGGTGTCTTTATGTCTTTTATCTTTAATGAATGATATGTTTTATGTATTATTTTTAAATTCTGTGATATATTCGCTCGGGTAATTTTACTAGTTGTCTCATATTAGTTGATCCCCTTACTAAATTTAAAAATGTGTTAACTAAATTTTTTCAAAAAGTACTCTCGCAATTAATTTTTTATAGCGTTCACATTTGTTTGTAAAATTTTGAAAAAGTTTTTTAAGGGGTAAACTAGTAAAATCATCTTCTTATTTATTACTTCCCCCGACTCATTTTATATGCACATTTTTACTTTGCACTTGCATAAAAAAATTATGTAAATTTACTCGTCTACCCTTTTTTTTGGGAACTCATGCTTTTAATAGATGAATATGAATTAATTTATTTTGATCAACTAATCTAACCAATGAACATGAATTATATTTCAATGCTAATAACTCACAAAGGTAAAAAAAGGAACAATATGATAATTTGTACATTAATTTTATGAAATGACAAGTAGGGACGGATTTAGGTGTACGGGTGGGGGTGCCACGATAACCAGTGTTCTTGAAAAAAACGTTGTATACACATGTATATATGAATAATAATTAAGTACATATTTACTTTTGCCACCCAATGACTATACAACGGTATTAGCCCAAATGGCAAAGTAGAGGGTTTGCTACCTTGTCAACCCGGGCTTGAACCTCAATAACTACACTTAATTTTTTTTGCTTGCTCCTTTTTTTCTTTTTCTTTTCTTTTTCTCCATTCATTCTTAATTTATTTATTATTCCTTATGAATTCAAAATTGACCCCGTTTCATAATTAATTTTTATTTTTTTTACTTTCTATCGCTCTAATTATTAATCTATTGACTTGAGTGTAACATGTTTATTTTGTTTTATCAATTAGTGAGTACTGAATTATGAGTGTCCAATAAATATTATTAAGAATATATTTAAATAATATTTTTTAGAAAAAAACATAAAGTTTCAAAAATGTTTTTTTTTTTAAAAAAATTTAAAGGTTCTTTCGATCTTCACCCACGTTTTTGCTAAGTAAGATGAATGGGCTGAAGCTACAACTTTTATTATTTCCCTACTATATATCTCCAACAACACATAAAGTCAATGGAAGATAAATATGTTATGTTAATATTAATAGATGGTTTATACAAGCTCAAATTTTAACGTGACTTTTTATCTTTTTATCTTACTTGAATGTTGTGGCGACCTCGACCTTCAAATCCTAGATTCGCCTATGATGACAAGTATTATGAGCCAACTATTTATAGAATGGAATGTTATATAAAATGGGACGGAGAGAATATTTTCTTAAACATCGTACACAATGGAAAATGGTAAAGTAATATGAGACGAAGAGACTATTGTGAAAAGAATATTTTAAGTAGTAATGCACGTACATGCGGAGTTATGTAATACTCCCTCCGTCCCTAATTACTTGTCCATTTTTTTATAATTGTCCTAATTACTTTGTCCATTTTGACAAATCAAGAAAGAATAATTTTTTTTACCTATTATATCCTCAATTAAATGACTAATTAATTTGAAAAATGCAAAACTTTTCATCCACTTCATATTTAATAGGGGTAAAATGGTAAACTCACTACATAATTAATTATAATAGGTGTGTCAATTCAAAAGTGGACAAGTAAAAAGAGACGGAGGAGTAAGTAATTTTTTATAATCACATTACTGGTATAGAAATCTGAGTAAATAATTATAATATGCATTGTTGATACTATCTGAACTTATGGACAATCAAAATTCAATTAAATATTTATGATTTGTGTACTAATTAAATTTTATGACAAACATGCTATCGAAGTTACATTTTTGGGATTAAGACATAAGTAACTCCTTAAATTATGATCGAATCTCAATGATATACTTAGGCTGAATATTAAATTAAAATCTCAATTTTAGGGTGTACATTGAAATTAAAACTTAACAGGGTCCTATTACAAGGAGCGGAGCTAGAGTATACTTAGGCTAACCAAAGAAACACCCTGCATCAAAAAATTATATTGTAAAGAAATGTAAAATATTTAAATATCATATTTTGGACACCTTATTGTCCGGAGGTTTCAAGCTCCTTGAAGGCCAAGGTTAAGTGTGTTTGCCTGTTTAAAATCTTAGCTTTTTTTTTAGCCTTTTTATTCACTTTAAGTCTATTTTTTTTTACAATTTAAAAAAAGCCTTTGTTATTTTTTAAATAATTCTAAATTAATATTAGTTATTAAAATAATTCTTAATAAGAGACCTAAAGTTTTAGAACCTAAGGGGAATAAAAAGTTTAGCAGCCTATTGTATTTTTATTCAATTTCACTTTTGACTCATTTTTTATTTAAAAAAAAATAAAATTTTAAAAGTAATGATTTGATTTAAAGTTAAAAAGAAGAACCTTATAATTTCTATAAAGAGAAAAAAAGCAACATATATAATTTTCTTTAAAATCACTCGCTTGATTCTATTTTTTTCCATATCCCGTTGGTAATATCGTCGCCGTCGGAGTTTGATGGAAGCTTGAAGCGTAAAAGACATCTCATTCTAAGTTGCATTTTGACCTCTTTCTTATTTTCCCGAAGTTCATTCACTTAATATTAAATTAAATATGAACCTTAAAAATTAAATATTATGCAACTTGATTTTACAAATTTTGAATATATTAGTCATAAAAAATATTAATTATTAATAGTATGTATATTAATTTTAAATTTTTTACTACACCTATTAATCTAAAAAAAAGTACTTGTACAATTTTCTGGCTCCGCTATTGTTTTTTTACACATGTAAACTATTTAAAAATGAAATAAATATACCCTAAATGCTACATGACATAGAGAGTGTACGACCCTCATGAAAGCAAGCAAACAACGAAAAATTGGACACATATCCTTAGCTCCGATCTCCCCTACGCCTAGGACGTTGTCTGGGCCAAGAGCCATAGTTAGTTGCTGTTTCTGGTTGTTTCTTCCTCGTTGTTGATACCGGCAAGACCCAGCCTAATTGGTCTAATTACAATTAGTTAGTCCTCGTATTTTTCGACATTCAAACTTCTATAAACTTAATTATTTCCATTTATTTTTTTTGTAAACTACTTATTCCCTCCTCACTTTAAGTTATTTTTTAAAAATCTTTTATTAATTTTATATATTTTTACTTTCATTTTTTTGTTAAAACGGTTACATGTATTTATTATTTTATTTTCTTGAAAAAATGTTCTTTAATTTTAACGATTTAACCTTTTTTATATTTTTATTTGATTTTCTTCACGTATATTGATATTGATATGGAATTAACTTATTTTCAATACAAGCAATTTAATATTAAATATCCAATCAAAAGGAAAGACAAAGAAAACAAGAAGAAGAACAAAAAATCAAATGAAACAAAAGAGAGTAAAAACAATGAATGAAGTTATTATTTTTTAAAATATAAGGATTTTTTTTATTTTTTTCTAAATATATGAATTTTTTTAAAAAGAAATTATGTGCATTAACTTATACAAGATAAATAAAATGAGAAGATTTTTTAAGAATTATTTTTTTTTAAAAAAAAATTACACACATACTGATGGCACATGTAATATACATTTCCACCTATATCTGGTCGAAGGTGTCACATCATCACAAAAATGCACAAAAATATAGAAAAATTGAGTTGAGAGAGTGGGGAGGGTGGGGGGGGGGGCGGGGTTCATAGGACCCGAGTTAAGTTAATCTGTGTCGCTGAGATTTCAATAATAATTTAGGGGATACATATGTAATGTCTCGCAACTAGAAAGAACCAGAAGGAAGTTAAAAATCTGGAAATAGTTTTGGAAAGTAAATGAAAATCTGGAAATTTTAAAGTAAGTTAAAAGTAAGTTTTTGACCAACTTCAAACGACCATAACTCCTAGCCCAGGATGAGTTAGGTGTAGTTCTAGATATGGTTGGAAAACTCTTGGAATGATTTTTCCAACACCGCCAAGTTTGCGTGATTTTTAGTTCATATGAATGAGTTATGCATTTCGAAAGTTGGTCTGTTGGATTAAAGAAAGTCCAATCCGGATTTGGGAAGGGCAAATTTGTCTTTTCCTTACCTAATTATGTTAATTCGTTTTTAGGGATTAATTGGGGTAAAATAAGACCTTGTCCAGGTTAAAAAGATTTAGAAATTCACGCTAGAATTTGGAGAAAAAAGAAAAGAGGAGAAATCAAAAAATTGCCAAGAACATTCAAGCTTTGCGTGTGGAATTCATCGGGGGTGATCCCTAAAAAGGTATGCGAGATCACATACCGCTGGGCTGGTTCACCCATGCGTCAACCATGTTTAAATTCAGTGAAGTTGAGTTTTGAATGTTAATAAATT